TCACAGTGGGGCCCCGCCTCCTCCCGAGCCTCATTCCTCACCAGGCCACGCAGGCTCCCTGTCCAGGCCCTACATGTTCATTGTCCACAGTTAGGCTTGGGGTCACCTCCTCCTGGAGGCCTCTCCTGATTCCAGCTCGGCTTGGCTGCCCTCGTGGTACCCGTGGGTTTCTCTATGGCGCCACTGACACCAGCGTCCCTACCTTTGCTGTCCACCTGTCTGTCTCCCCACTTAGACTGGGAGTTCTGTGATGGCGCCTTTTATCTTTGAATTTCTAGCATTATCATGGTGCTTGTGTGTTCAGTAAACATCTGTTAATGAATCATTTCATATCCCAGACACCAAATCTGCACCGTCCCCAGAGCGAACGGGCCTGTGCTGGCCGCCCCCGCGGGCACGCACACTCCCCCGCCCCGGTGCCGCCTCTGGGACCCATCTTTCCTGAATGAGTGACTCTGCACGTCCACCAGGGGTGCTCTAACCGGCAGTACCACATGTGACCGCAGCACCCCTGTTTTTCTGTGTGTAAGGAGAGGGGTGTGGGCGGCTGATGAGCACTGAGGCCTCTCTGTCTTCGAGGAGTTTGTGACTTTGCCACATGCATATGTCTCCAGATTTCCAGGCCTCACACAATTTGTGTAGAAACTTATGTCTCTACCTTGGGCCCACAGGGTATGTCTCTACCTTGCCCCCAAGCAGCAGCGACAAAGATGCCACAGGTCCAGGGTGGTGTAAGAATGTGCCTGCCCAGCCAGGTAGGAGGACACACTGCGTCACCTGCTTTGCGGGGAGGAGACATAAGGCCAGCTGAGCCTTACTGGAAAGGTGAGGGACGGCAGGACAGAACTGCTGTGGTCTTTGTTCCTTTCCTCAAACGCAATGCACGTTCCCCACTTGCAGGCAATTTCTTCGCTTCAAGAGGATTCCAGCTGCTTCAATTTAAGGTGAAGAATAAACCCAGTCAAGAAGTTTCTCAGGGGCCTTTCAGTTTTCACTGGCTCGACAAGGGATGTATTTTAAGATGTTTTTGCCTCTTAATGTCTGTCAAAGTGCCAGGGGAGAAAGCTTCCTCTGACTTCAACACCTCTCTCAGCGCTCAGCGGCTACTGGCACAGGGATTCTCCGTATTTTCCTGCACTGCTTTGGCTTCGCAGCAGGAGCCCAGCTGACCTCCCTGTTCTCTCCCTGCCTCCCCCTTTCCCGCCCCCCAGCCACACCTGCCCTGGGTGGAGGAGACACTAGTGCTGGTCCAGGGTCCACAAGGCCCAACAGCTGTCCTTCAGGACACCCAGCAGCTTAAAGGGCAAACTGCTGGGCTCCCATGTTTCACAGCTTACACTCCACGAGGTGTCCTTACACCTGCCATACATTCATTCATTCATTCACTCATTCATTCAGTCAAATACCCACTTGGTCACCCCATCCGCCAACTTGGGTCTGTGATGCTGGTAGGGGTTGTGGGTGGTTCAAAGAAATATAACACATGGTCTTATTATACATTGGTTAAAGCTATGAATATACAACCACAATACAAAACAGAAGGAAGTGAACTTTGGGTTTGGAGGGTGTGGAGACGTTAAGAAGTTTCAGAAAGACAAGAGATCAGCTAGGTATGGGGTTGGGTCCCAGAGGGAGACAGTCAGGGAAGACTTCTTGGAGGAGAAAGCATTTTTGGTGGTGGCAGGGTAGGCTAGCATGCAGGGTCCAACTATGGGGAAGGGGCCTGAGCAAAAGTGTGGACACGGGAAGCTCTCTGGTGGGCACAGAGGCACTGTCTTATGCCTGCTGCTCTCCTCCTTCCAGGGCCTCAGGGCTCCCTGGGCATGTCCACTGGCAGCCACTGCTTTGGTGGCATTGCTTTAATCGCCTTTGAAGGAAGGCACTGTCCCCACACAGGCAGTCACCAACCTCTTGCCCTTTTCCATCAGGCCCTCAGCCCAGAGGAAATGCCTTTATCCTCTTCTCTGTCACTAAGGTTGAGGCTCCCCCACCCCCACTTTTGAGGGACCCTGTTCCTAATAGCAGCTGCTTCCCCTCCAACTTTCCCAGCTACTCCCTCTAGAGGTATGTGTTCCCTTCACCCCTAAAGGAAGCGCCAGCCACCATCTCGCTTCTCACTGTGCCTGGCCTGTCTCTACCTCCCTGTCACCACCTTTCTTAGCAGCCACTGCTCTTTCTGTCTTAGGAAAGCACCCCCTCAGCAAGCCCTCCCCACCTCTGCCAGTACCTCAGTATCTTCCAGAGAGCCCTTGCCAGTGGTGCAGGGGTCAAGCCTCTGGAGTGGGGCAGACCTGGATTTAAACCCTACTCTGTCACTTTGTAGCTCTGCACTTGGCCCAATTCCTTCCTCCCTCCCTTTCTTCTTTCCGCCGTTCCTTCCATAGGAACTCTCTTGTTTTTCCTACACTTTTCCCCTTCTGATAACCAGCACCTTGCTTCTACTTTGGGGGAGCCATCCTCTGCTGCTCTCAGCTCTTATAGATTAAATGGGGCTGCCCAGGGTCACTGTTTGGCTCAGGGATGGGCTTGTTATCCAAGCAGGATGAATCTTGGGACTTTCAATGGTTAGAAAGGGTCAATCAATTCCCACTGAGGTTGATAAACTAGTCAAACAAATCTGAAGCCAGTGGTTTTTGTCATCATATGCAAAGAGTCTATTTATAATTAAAATCAGCACAGAGAAAAAGAGAGAAAAGGGAGAGATAGATAGATTCCTGGTGACGTTGTTTGAGCACCTGGACCCAGCCATGCCTGAAGTCGTCCCAGGAGCTTTCAGTTTGTGAACCAATAATGCCTTCCCTCTTTTTTGGCACAAGACAGTTTGAGTTGGCTTTTGTCACTTGCCACTAACAGCCTCGACTAAAGAAAAACTTAACTTGCAGACTTGAGGAGAGCATTACATGCAATGACATATGAATAATACCCAGCATAAAGTAGGGGTACCACCAGATGAATGGTGGCTTTTAATAACTAACTGAATCTGCCTTCTCAAAGGTCAAATTTCCATATAGTGTAGTTCTAGTAGTAGAAATACTACTTTTTCTTTCTTTCTGTCTTTCCACACCACTTTGACCAAGCCATCTGTTGTGAAATCTGCCCTCCTTGGCTTTCTTAACCACAGCCCTGTGTCCTTCCTAAGTCTCGGGGTTTTCTATCGCACCCCACCTCAGGGCTGAGACAGGGTGGGAGATTTCAGGATCTGGAGAGGGCGATGTCTTCTCTGCATTATGTGCCCATATCCCCCAGGACAATCAGTATCAACTAAACAGAATCGAATGCAAAGTATCAACTAAACCAAATCCACTAAATCAACTAAACTTGTCCCTCCCGAGGACACCAGGTACTCAGAGAAGTCTACACTGCCATCTAGTGGGCATCTGTAGCTACAACATGCAGAACGGAGCCTTCTGCCGAAAATTTCCTCTGGGGACAGTCACTGGGCTGTGAATTCATCTGGTCCAACCTCCTCACTCCTTAAGTGACAAACCGAGGACAAGCGAATTAATGGTGAGCTAAGAGTCCTCTCTCACTGGGCTCCTGCCCTGCTTTTGCAGCCTACCACCTCCTGTCCCACGAGTTAGAATCAATGCAGCCTACATTTCCTCTGCTTCTCCCACCTGTCCATGTGTGACTCAGGCCAAGGGTGTACAGAGAGGAGGGCCTGACATGTGTACATGTGTGTACATGTGTGTGCATGCGTGTGAGGCTGGGGAGGGTGGACGGGAATGAGACCCAGAAGGTCTCCTCATTACATGCTTGCTCGGTCTCCCAAAAAAGGATGTTTGTCATGGTTGCAAACATGCTATAGACTGTCAAAGCTTTTTATTTTCAGCCTCATAAATATCACAATCTCTTTGTTCCCGAAGAGAGAAAAACAGTTCAAGAAAGAAAGAAAAAAATCTATCCCTCTACCTCCAAGTAATCTATGCGACCCCTAGCCCTGAACTGGCTATGTTGCTCTGCTTGCACTGATGACTGCAACCAGGCTGGACAAACAGAAGAGAAGAGCCAGCTGTGGCCTCCCTTGTCACCATGCACAGCGGGGACCAGAAGGCTGGCTTTAGTGTGCATGTGGTCACATCCTGAGCGTGACCCTCTGTCCCCACCCATCCGCAGCCTGAGTCTTGAACACATCACAATCCTTGTTCCTGGGTTGACACTGGCACCTCCAGCTAAGACAAAGCAGAAAGTGAGGGTCGCCTTCCACCTGCGATGCTTTGGGAGCTCAGTCTGGCCTGGGAGTCAAGGAAGAAAGAAACGGCGACCGGAACACCACAGCAGCTGCCCCAGGACATGGTATGGCCGCTGGGAACAGCACCCGCAGCCCCACTTCCCACTTCCCAGGTTAACCTCACCCCCAAACCAAGGGAAATTTCCAGAACAAGATGGTACGAATCATTTTCAGTAAAATGAGTAGTTATTTTCAATTCCTGCAATGCTTCCATCTTCTGCTTCAGACAGCTTTGGGCAAGCTTTTGAGCACGTTTTGTATTGCAGTGACCAAGTCTCAGGACGCACTGACCTCTGCTTGTTTAGCCTACGTGAGAAGTGCTGCCCACGACAAACCAGCTCCCCCACTTTCAGAAGGTCATTCTGAAAGCCCAGCCACCTCACGCCTTCAGCAAGGATGCCCTAGAACCCCCTGTCTCGTCCTTTCCTCTTTAGACTCCAAAGCACGCGCTAGCTGGTCTCCTCAATGGACTTCGGGGCCAGGCTTAGGGGCTCAGGGGCTGCAGGAGCAGGGAAAGAACTGGGCAGAGGGGCCCCGAGCCCTGACAAAGCTCCTGGTTTGAAACCCTCCCACCCGCCCCAACCTCCTCCAAGGCCACGGGGCTGCTCTAAGGAAGGCACATGCTTATGTCAACAGCCATCTGTTACCACCAGACCCAACCCAGATGGCTATGCACCCAGCTTCGAGTTACTCGGATGAACAGACTCAGAGGCAAACTGAGACCCACAACTCTCCCTGCTCCCACCCCAGGCCAGACCTGTTCACTTACCTCTAAGGCCCGAGGGAACTTGACTGTTGGCGCGGGCCACTGGGTAATCTTTTGTCTATAGTTGTTGCAGTTAGGAACAAACATGCAGCCAATGTTGCCCAACTCTGGGTAGAAGACTTCAAGGCCCCTATGGGGAGAACGAGGCTGTTGGCCCATGTCAGGGTTTTGGGGGAGCCTGGGGTTCATAAGGCTTCAGTCTAGCACTGTTGGAAATGTAACGCCAAGTGCGATGGAATCCTAGACCTGCCCACTAACTTGTGTGACCTGTGTGACACTTGACCTCTTGGTGTCTCAGTTTATTCACCCATAAAATGGGAACACGAGTACCATCTACTTAAAGGGTTGGTGTGAGGAGTAAGGTAAGTGATCGGCATTTACAGCAGAGCCTGGCCTGTGGCCGGCAGTCGGGAAGTGTTAACTATTGTCAGTGTTTACTTCTCAAAAAGAACGTACATCCATAGGCAAACTTGGCCAGTGTCTTTAAAGTAGGATTGGGTTTATAAGAACAATGTTGACACATTTCTTTTCAGGAATGTTCATATTACATAAAGAAAGGTTTAGCAAGTTAACACAGCCTTCTTCATGGGCACAGACGGTTCTCTGCTCTACACAATTAAGAGCCTCTCAACTTTTAGAATAACCCTCTTCTTTGGGTTAAGTATGGCCCATATCCTAGGCTCTTGACCTACTATTACACTTTCAAAATGCAAATGTCTCTCAGGGGGTAAAACCTAGCCATTAAGACTGTGGTATGAATCTATGTATCTACTTTCTCCCTGAGAAGAACGGCCTGAACAGCGCTTGTGCTCTGAGAATCCAGCTTAGTAGGAGGGCTGATTCCACGATGCCAGCAGGGTTAGCCTTAAGTGCTCACCTGTATTTGAAATTCAGGGATGTAAGCCAAGCTTTCAAATAGATACTTAAAAAAATCTTGTGCCAACTGTTTTTTTTTTCTTTACCTGACTTTTCCTCCCTGTTCTTATCATGAAGACCCAGGGTCTCTGTAGGGTTTGTCAACCGATGGTTGTCGGCGCCGATTCAACGCCAACAGGAATCCCCAATTTGGGCTCCGGTGAAGAAGAAGGCTTTAGTACAAAAAGCTCAACTGTGATACAGCACGGCTATGGAATAGTTCAATACTGGTTACAACTCAATTATAAAACAGCACAGCTGCGAGGAGGCCCTGGATGCGAGGAGGCCCTGAATGCGAGGTGGTATGACCCCTCTCCAGCTAGACTGCTCTGCTCAAGTGAGCCATGTCTTCAGCTCCAGCAGGGAGAGAATACAGCCTTCAGTGGAAAGGGAAAAGATGCTCTCTGAGCTTGAGGAAAGCAAAGCTGACTTATATAGAGAAGTCCCCACTCTGGTTCCTGATTGGTCTGTTCTCATGCATATTAGGATTCCAAATCTTCACAGTTTGGTTGGCCCAAAAAGCACTGTTCTGATTGGTCAGAATGGTACTGCTCTGATTGGTCTGTGAAGATGCTAAGAAGGGTATAGTTGTGCATTTCCTATTGAAGGGTAAAGTCACAGTCCTATTGGTTGAAATATGATGCCAGGAACTCCTTTATAAGGCATGGCAGTGGAGGCAGGCAGTTCAGTGCAGACTTCTCCCTGAAGTGCAACTTTCAGGCTTGTGTGAGAGGCTCCTGTTTAGCAACAGCTGCTAAGCTCTGTTTATAAATTCAAGCCCAGTTAGCCACCGGGAGCCCTTCTCAACAGATATGTTCATTCTCAAGATCAACAGGTTCATTTGGTTAAGATGATTCACTGAGAGAGAAGGGTTAGGTCCTCAGCCTTTGTACATAGCCCAGCGTGGCTGAGAACCTCCAGAGCCCACCAGTGGCCACTCAGAGGTGGCCACAGTTCCCTGCTGGGGGTGACGCCTGAAGGGGACCCAGTGAGAATGTAATTTGGGGGAGTATATCTGGAGGGGGAGCTCCCAAGTTCTAAATCTGAGAAAAAGGCAAGGATAGCTTCCTAATGGGGAGCCCCACATTCCCCCTCCCACCTTCATCCTTCCAGAGGCTTTTGAGGTCCCACCTCAGGAAAAGGCAGCTAAAGCCTACAACATCCAACAAATACAAGATTCTTCTTTGGGCCAGCATCCCAAAAACCCAGATTCAGGCCGACCGAGGCAGGACAATTCACTGAAGCCACTTAGCTGAATCACCAGCTTGCCGAGCAAACTTGTTTCTTTTAACTCTTCCTAGGTTTGCAGTTATTCCTTTTGCATGGCATGGTTTTGAATAGCTTTTGAAGGACTTTTAGAGGACAGGTTTTTATTTATCTTCACAGCAGCCTTTTCAGGACCATTTGGTTTGTTTCTGCCACAACTCCCTGCACTACAGCTAGTGAGGGGACCCTCCACCAGCAGCGAGATGGAAATTCAGCACATGGCATGGAACCGGGAAAGGCCAAGGGGCGGGAAGGAGGGAAACTGAGGATGGGAGGGGCCTTCCTCGGGGGGGGGGGCAAACGGGTCTCCTCACTTTGTTCCGGTAGAATTGCTGCAAATGCCAAAATCATTAAGCCAAAATCAGCAAGTTGACATTTGGTGAGTGGTCTTAAAGCCACAGAGACTGCCCCAGCAGGGTATATATCAGGGGACTAGGGATTGGGGCTGTGCTCCCCAGCCCCTATCACACACATGGGTGATGCCAGCCCAGCGTGTGAAGCCCTCATGTTGCTCCACATAGCAGGATTAGGATGGGCCAAGAAGCATGTGTGGGCCTCTGTCCTGTCTAGCTGTTTTACGAAAGGCTGGGATCAGGGCAAGGAAAGCAAATTTATTACATTTGCGAATGGCACAAAGTTGATCATTTCCAATTCAGATGATCAAATTGGCTTAAAGGAAGATCTGGACAAGCCGAGATGAACTGAATAAAAAATTAAATTTAGTGAGAATACACTTTAAAACTTGCATTCAAGGGCCGGCCGAATGGTGCGATGGTTAAGAACTGGTTTGGGACGCCAGAGGGCCCCGGTTTGGATCCCCCAAATGAGGGCCAGTGACACTGCCCTCCACAGCTAAGATGCTGAACAACAGCTCAACCTGGAGCTGGGCTGCCGTGAGTCGCCAGCGACGGCGTAGTCTGCAGCCCCTGTGGCAGTGGGTTCCCATGGGCTACCATGTGTAGCCAGCAGCCAGCGTGAGCGGCCAGCAGCCGCAGTGAGCGGCCGTCCAGAAGCCGGCGACTGATCTGCCTCGCCCGGGAAGAGCACAATGATGGTGCCAACTTGGGCCAGTGAAGCAACGTCCTCCACAACTAGACTGAAGAACAAAACGATAGCAACTTGTCTGTTCCCCTTCCCCCGATTCCCCAGCACTGTTCCCATCCCCCCAATTCCCCAATAAAAATCTTTAAAAAAAAACAAAAAACTTGCATTCAAGTTCAAAAACCTCGAAGGTGCCATCTTTCGGCAGCGAGTGCCCTTCCGGCTCATGGATATGACTGGCAGGGTCCAATATACCTGCAATGATCCCCATTTCCTTTGTGTTATCCTCTCCCCTTGAGTGGGGGCTGGATTCAGTGACTCACTTCTAACAGAGAGAATAAAACCGAAGTGATGGGATGTCTCTTCCAAGATTATAAGAAGATGGCGGCTTCTGCCCTCTCTTGTAGGCGCTGCTTCTCAAATCCTTGCTCTGAGGAAGCTGGCTGCTGTGTTGTATACAGCCCCATGGAGAGGCCACATGGCCAGAGACCGAGGCCCGTCACAGCCACATGAATGAGCTTGGAAGCAGAAGACCCCACCCTGACCCGTCCATCCTCCAGATGAGACTGCAGCCCCAGCCAACAGCTTGACTGCAGCCTCCTGAGGAACCTTAAGGTATTGAATCCTAACTTCAAGGATTTCCTATTAGACTCTAAATACCCACAAAAGGAGTGGCTTCTGGGGGGAAGGGGGTGTTACTCATAGGTCAGAAGCTTGAGCTGAGCAGCTTTCTTGGGGACGGAGCCCAAGCACAGAAGGCACTAATCCCTCCTTGGGGGTCTGATGTGTCCATGATGTGCTCTCATTCGAAGATGATATTTTATGAACAAACAAAAACCTTCAGCAGGAATAAAGACAAAGCTTCCCTTTTGCAACAACGATTTATAATCCAAAGACTTTTCCTGGCATGCAACTTTAGTGTCATAAGTTCATGTTTCTCAAACTGGGGGTCTGCTGGTGTGTTCTAGGGAGTCCTGAGAATGGCTCCTGCTATGGTATGAATGTTTGTGTCCCCCAAGTTCATATGTTGAAATCCTATCCTCCAAGGTGATGGTATTTGGAGGAAGGGCCTCTGAGAGAGGCTTAGGTCATGAGGGTGGTGTCCTTATGAATGGGGTGAGTGCCCTTATAAAAGAGACCCCAGAGAGATCCTCCATTTTCCACAACGTGAGGACACAGCAAGAAGATGCTCATCTATGAACCAGGAAGCTGGTCCTCAGCAGAGATTGAATCTGCCCACACCTTGATCTTGAATTTCTCAGCCTCCAGAACTCTGAGAAATAAATGTCTATTGTTTATCAGTCCCCCAGTCTGTGGCATTTTGTTATAACAGTCTGAATGGACTAAGACAGCTTTTTCCCCTTTACTGGAGTGTAAGAAGCTCCGGGCCCTGGATGGGGACAGCAGCCCAAGGCAGGTCGGGAAAGAGCGTGAGTGCAGTCAGACGAGGAGAGTCGAATCCCCGCTCTGCCACCTGTAAGCTGTGTCAGCACCATGGGCAGGTTACTTAGTCTCCGGGGACTCCTCTTCTGCAAAATGAGGATGATAATACTTACTTGGAGGATCTGTGATAACAGTGAAATGAGTCAAGGAGTCTAAAGCACCAGCAGAACTCCTGGCACATAACATGTGCCCCAATTGACAGCATGCGAATATCTGTAGGACTGAGCTTAGGGCAGCTGGGGCCCAGGCCCGTCACCTCCAGGGACCACACACACATGATCATTTTCTATGTGTTCCACGGTGTGGGTGACACAGGGAGGTGCAGAGGCACTCCATAATGGGGCCATGACCGTGGCCTGGCCCTGCCTTGTCCCGGCCCCGCTGACCTCTCAGCTTGCAAGGGCTTGACCTTTTGCCTACAGGAGGAAAAAGCCTACCTGCCCCCAGGGTAGGTTCCGCTCATCAGAGCACCTAGAGGTCAGTGCCCACCTGTGAGAGACAGCCACGTTCCTTCTTTCTCCCACACAAGACTTCACCCAGAACCGTTTCACCAGAGTTTTAAAAATGTTCTGATAGGAGCAAAATTTGTGTTCTCTCTCTCTCTCTCTCTCTCTCTCTCTCTCTCTCTCTCTCTCTCTCTCTCTCTCGGATTCAACTACCTAACTTTTTAAGGGAAACCATGAATTTATCTTTCTAAAAGTAGTGTTTGTAAGAATTCAAATATACACAAAANACCGTTTCACCAGAGTTTTAAAAATGTTCTGATAGGAGCAAAATTTGTGTTCTCTCTCTCTCTCTCTCTCTCTCTCTCTCTCTCTCTCTCTCTCTTTCTCTCTCTCGGATTCAACTACCTAACTTTTTAAGGGAAACCATGAATTTATCTTTCTAAAAGTAGTGTTTGTAAGAATTCAAATATACACAAAAAGACAGAGTACAAAGTAGTTCTTCCTCCCTCTCTCACTTCTGATGGCTTCAGTGGGAAGACAGGCCGGCCGAGGGGGTGGCTGCAAAGTGGTCTGGGCAGCCTTTAGGATGACCCATGAGTCCAGGAAAGTAAGACTGGCTTTTCTAACAAACATCCCAGTGAGGAGAGAGCTGAACTCCTAACACAGAGGGGGAGAACCTGAGGTCCAGCCTCTTCACTGGAGGACAAGTGGCCACATCCCCTGAAAGGCCTGACGCTCCTGGGCCTTGTTACTGAAAAGCAAACAACCAGCTTCCTTCCATACAGGAATGGTCCAAGCACACACCCTCTGCCAGCTCCCACTTTTCTTTAAAATGATACTTTGTTGTGGAGGAGGGAGCATTTTGGGCTGTAGGGAAGGATACTCTTGCTGGGGAGGGCACAGGACCCCTGAGGTTTGGAGGCCAAAGGGGTGGAGGGAGCTGACCATATCCATATACCCTCCTGGTCCAGGGAGAGCACCCCCTGGCAGGCAGGATCCCAGCTCAATGCTGTCCCCCATCAAGGTGGTCTCCAGAGCTGACTCATTCTTTGCTTGTCAGCAAAGACTGCCTTAGGAGACGGTGCGCCTTGGTTCTGGAGACACCCTTCCCTGAGACCTCTGCCCAACTGCTTTCTGGGTCCCACCAGCCTTACTTGCAGAGAACAGCATCAATGTCAGGCAGGGCCTCGTACATACACTGGTCATTTTCTTCCTCATCTGTAGTGACCACCATCATGAGGCTCAGAATCAGGACTGCCGTGGCCAGCCTCATGGTCCAGCTCATGCGCACCTGGAACAGAAGGAGCCTTTAGAGCTGCCGGGTCCTCTGTAGGGGGCATCCTTGCCACCCCGTACACCCCCCACTCTAGGAGCCCACCTGGTACCACAGAGACTTCTGGTGAGCAGAGGGAGAAGGGCAGGCAGCTGCTTGCCACCCGGATATAAGTGCCTTAGGAGGACCGGGGCCTACTCCAAGCTGGACTCAATTTGCAGTCCTGGCTGAGGCCTCGCCTCTGTCAGAGCAAGGGTCTCCTGTCACTCTAGTCCTGGCTGCCAGGGCTGAGAGCCGGTTGCAAAGCAGAGGTGCTTATATAAGCCTGTCAGCACAGCTCCTCATCCTGCCCCCGCCACTTGCCCCGCGTGTGGTTGGTTGGCCAAGGGCCAGCCTTCTCCTTTGTCTTCAAAGGCAAATTCTGGTAAGCTGGTGACTCCAGGCTTCAGGCCGGGGGCAGGTTCTGGGGTGCTTGCAAGACCCTGACCTTGGTTGTTTTTCCAGGAGCAGGGGTTTGGCTGGGCCGTGCCCTTTGGACAGCTCTGCTTCTCCTGCCCACAGCTCCTCTGCCACCTGTCTCGACAGCCTCTAGGCTGTCTGATGGCGGGTGTGCTTGGACACAGCAATCTTGTGTAGGAGGGGCTGCTGCAAGTGGGGTAGGGCCACCCCAGCCCTGAGGCCAGCTCTGAAGGGCCAGCTGAGGACAGAAGGGCACGTCCGACTGCACCTTGCAGCAGTGCTGAACTCAGCACTCTCCCAAAATAAGTCTCTGGAGAAGAAGGCCAGCAGAGCTGCTAGGGAAGGGGAAAGCTTGTACCAGCGCTGTGCTGGGAAGCAGAGGGTGCCTGGGCTGACCATATTGAACTCCTCCTCTGGGTAAAAGGCCTGCGGAAGGGAAGGAGCATGTGGGGCTCTGATTGGAACCAGAGTGGGCAGGGGACGATCAAAGGCGCTTCCCCCACAGCCTTTCCAATTGATCTGCTCTCTGTCCGCTCTGAGTCAGGGGTGTGGGAGAGTGCAGGGGCATGGTCCAGCAGCAGGGAGCTGAGGACTCTTGGGTTCTGCTCTGAGCGCCTTCGGGCTGCTGGTGTGTGTGTGTGTGGGGGGGTGCGGGGGCGGGGGAGGGCTATGCCTCTTTAGAATGTAGCACTTCCCCCCTTTCAAAAATAAGCAATATGACTCCGCGGCCCCTGTGCCTTGCTAAGAAACATGAGATCATTGTTATAAAGCACATGCAACTAGATCTTTAGAGAAACTATCTTCAATATAGCTTGCTTTGCAGTTGAATTCTTGTTTCCAGGATTCCAACTTCTAGCAAAAAGCTCTTCTTTTGGGCTACCAATTAAACACATTTCTCAATAATGATGAGGGCTGCCCCACAGAGAACTCGTCCCCAAGATCTCCTCGGCCAGAAGGTGCCTCCTGGTAGCCTCCTCACAAGATGGTTGCGAAAATGAAGTGAAATGAATTATATAAGACACTTAGTGAGGCACCTGGCACCTAGGGAATGCTCAATAATTTATGGATGGTATAAATATTCTTCCACAGATTCATTCATTCATTCATTCATTCATTCATTCATCTGTTAGCAATCCATTTCACCAACAGGCATTGAGTGTCTCTCGTGGGCTGGGTCCCATTCCCCTCTCCCCCTGGGGTATAGGGTCTCTGTCCTCATGAAGCTCACAGGACAACCACAGCCAGAGGATGATGCTGCCAGAAAGGTCTGCCAAAGCCAGGAGAACCTTGTCTTCAAAGTGGTGGCCACTAGAAAAGCCAAAACTTTCCTGGGTGCCAACAGCCCTTAGCACCAGCAATGAATGGCTGTCTGGGGGTGGGGGAGTGTCCCCAGTGCAGGGCTGCCTCTGGTGACCCCACACACATGAGCAATTCCTCCTTACTCAGTATGTGCTAGGCTTTTATCGTTGAATCCTCATGATGATCCTGGAAAGTACGGGAGACTGGGGCACAGAGAAGTTAGCTAACCTGGACCTTGGTCACATGGGTAGTAAGTGGCCAACCTGGGATTTGAATCCACACTGTCTGGTTCCAGACCTCCATGTTCCTTAACCGCTGTGCTCTCCTGCTCCCTCTTGTGGCTCTGCTGTCTCCCCATTTGCTCCCCACCCTATTCCTTTTGTTCTTGGAATAAGGCCCAGAATCTTCCATGTAGCCCACAATGCTCTGCATGCTCTGGTTCTTCCTGCCTCTCTAGCCTTGTCTCTCTACTCTCCTCTGTTCAAGTGTCAACTCCAGTTAGTCTCTCAAGCTCCTTCCTGCCCCCAGGACCTTCTCATGCCCCATCCCACTTCCTACTCCCTTCCGGTGGATAGCTGATGAGTCATTTCCTCAGAGATATTTACTCTCACCCCTAGGCTCTGTTAGATTCCAGTTATACAGGACCAGAGCACTTTACTCCTTTCCTTATGTTCTTATATGAATTCTTTCGTAATTATTGGCTTTGTGATTTGCTGATAGTCCCAGACAGCTCTGAGTCTGCCCCTAGCATTCTAACTGCAGTCCCTGGTGTGTCTCGATGCAGAATAAACTCTTGTTTGAATGCCTAACAAACTTGCCACTTTTGTTTCTGATCGTCCTGATAGTCACCTAACAGTTCCTAACTCTCTATAAACATCAGTAGGAAGCTAACCACTCAGGTTGGCGCCTGGCCCCAGATCCCTTTTGCTTATTTATACAAGCTTCTCTGGCTTGTTTTTGTACAGAGAGATCTGACAGGATGCAGTGGTTCTTGGTATTTTCGAATCTGGTCTTTCTCTAGGGGATTCACAGGACTTTGCTTCATACTCCGAGTCCAAGATCTAGAAGCCACATTCAAGCTGGGCGAGGCACAGTTCCCCCTGCCCATCACCAGCCTGTTTTGCTCAATTGCTTCACTTCCGGAAGCTCCCATGTCCAGATCCCTTGGTGGCCAGTCCCTTTCTCTTTCTTCAATTACCTGGGCTGGGAACAACTCCCAACACTATCAATCAGGCAAAGCCTATTGGCTTCCTGAGTCCCTCCTGACCCCTGGGATCTGCTGAATCAGTGCTCCTGGAACTTTTGACACCACTCTCATCACTCCAGTCCTCCTGTGACTGACACCCATCGCTGCCCAGGTGCCCCCCCATTCTCTATCCAGACACAGAACCTCACACTTTTTCTTCCTCCTAAACCTTTCCACTTATGCCCTCTGGAATTTCTGAACCGCAGTGACCAAATTCCCTTGGATGCCTGGGGAACCGACCATGTGATTAGAGAGTTGGAACTTTCAGTCCCTCTCACCCCAACCACTTCCATGGAGGGGGGAGGGACTGGAAGTCAAATCAATCACCAGTGGCCAATGATTTAATCAATCATACCTACATAATAAAACCTCCATAAAAACACAAAATGATGGGGTTTGGAGAGCTTTTAGGTTTGGTGAACACATGGAGATTCGGGGAAAGTGGCACGCTCAGAGAGCGTGAAGGTACTGTTACCCTCCCCATACCTTGCCCTGTGCATCTTTTCCATCTGGCTCTTCCTGAGTTATATCCTTTAGAAATAAACTGGTAATCTAGTAGGTAAAATGTTTCTCTGAGTTCTGTGAGCTGCCCTAGCAAATTAATTAAACCCAAAAAGTTAAGCATAGAATTACCATATGACCCAGCAATTCTGCTCTTAGATATATACTCACAGAAATTTAAAGCAGCGACTGGAACAGATACTTGTACGCCAGTGTTCACTGAAGCCAAAAAGTGAAAACAACCCAATGTCTATCAGCAGGTGAATGGATAAACAAAATGTGGTACATACATATAATGGAATATTCTCTGCCCATAAAAAGGAAGGAAATTCTGACACATGCTATAACATGGATGAATGAAAACATTTTGCTAATGTGAAGTAAACCAGTCACAAAAAGACAAATACTGTGTGATTCCACTTATATGAGGTACCTAGAGTCGTCAAACTTGTTGAATGGAGAATAGTTTTCAAGGGCTGGGTAAATGGGGGAATAGGGAGTCACTGCTTAAAAGTTATTGATTTTCTGTTGGGGTAATTAATGTTTTGGAAATACAAAATATAATTAAGACCACTGAATTGTACATTTAAAAATGGTTAAAATGGAAATTTTTATGGTATATACAGAGGGTGCCAAAAAAATGTATACACATTTTAAGAAAGGAAAAAACTGTATTAAAATTGTAATACAATGAATGACGTTAGCATTCATTTGATTAACGCCATCTTTTGAGTGAACGTCATACTACACATAGCTACTGTAATTCAATTCAACTTCGAAAAGTAATACATAGATAACCTCTCTTAAAAATGTGTACTTTTCTTGACACCCCCAGTATATTTTAACACAAACACACATCCAAGGAACTGGTGATATACAGAGTCCACTGTGGAAACACTAGCTTAATTCATTCCCCTTGCTGTATAGACAGCTTGATCAGTCTGTGTAGCCTGTTCTCCATCCTCCCAATCAGTTATGCTCTCTGCCACCTTAAGGCCTTTGCACAAGTGTTCTCTCTGCAAGGTGTGCTATTCTCTCCTGTCCCATGACCTATATGGCTTACTTTTTTTGCTTATCCTTCAGGTGTTATTTAAATGTCACTTCATGCAGGGAACCTTCTTGGATATCTTCTCATATCCACATACAGCATCTGCAATACTTCCACCAGGATAGTACGAATTGAGTCATTTTTATTTTCCATTTACTTGTGTTTATCTGTCATGAGACTGTGACCTTTATGGGGGAAGTGCCCTAAGTGTCCTGTAATTGGTGAGTCTGGCAACTAGCACAGTGCCTGGGAAACAGCAGGTGCTGTTACCATTTAAAAACAGGAGGAAATAAGGAAGGGAGTGAGGGATATAGATTTCCTAAAGGTCACACCTCCACCTCCATTAATGTAACCTGTGTCTCACCTGAGCTTCAGGGCAGTGTTTGTCCCTCTCTCAGTATCATTCATTAGTATCTTCCTGTTCTAGTTTTCTGTGCGTATATTTCACTCTGTGAGGGCCCCCATTGTCTCTGCCTTCCCCACAGTACTTTGAACATAGCAGATGCGTAATAAATAAATGAATAAATAAATAAAGAATCACACACATTTAAAAACAATGTACTGCAAACAGAATATTGTGAACTTTTGTTGTCCTTCATATTTAAAGAACATAAGGAACCCACAAATCTCCACAAATGCACTTTGGGCCGTCCTTTTGTTCCCCAATACTATGTGTTGCTCTTTGTGCACCTTTTGTATCAGATAACTAAGTGGGACAT